ACTATATTAGCCGACAACAACTATCGATAATTTGGCAACATTGCAACTAGAGGCAGAAATTACTATAGTGGTCCTGTAGTGATGGAAATATTTATCAGAAATAAAAGAAGATGATCTATTTTCATCTTTAAAATGAAGCAAAATTGCGTTATTAAGATGAATATTGTCACGGTAATATACAGCGTATATTTGAATAATGTGTAAACAAGAAAAAACTAGCTTATAAAGCAGTATTCTATACCACAGTATTACCACCTAAAATGCAACTTTGAAGTTATATAAAATAGGAAGCAGAGGCTTCCTTAAAGAAAAAATCATATTTTCGTACTAGTTACATCCTAATCTTCCATTTTAAATTAAGAAATGGAATATTTGCGATATGCGCTAAAGTACAGCCAAAATTTCGCTACGTCTTGTAGAGCCTAATAGACTATATTTCAACAGTTGTCTTGCGTGATCATGTTATTTTTAGTCGGACCAACCTCTCTCCAGAAAGGACAACATATACAACGTATACAAATGTCCGTCTAGCTGAGTAGACGTGTCTGATGCTGCTGTTTCTTATTATCTACTAGAATGTATTTTTTGAGATCGAATAAACCTGATATTAGAGATGATGGTGCATGTGAAGTCGACATGAGTGAAATATTAAACAGTGACGTGATTAAAAGTGCATTCAGCGAAGCTACGTATATACGTTCTGCGATGAGTGAGGTGGTCGCAAAAATGAAGGATTTGCATGAGGAGGTGGTGATGCTGCGCGAGTCAAATGTGGAGTTCATCAACCTACTGACAAATAAAGGTGCTATGCATAATATGGCACATCCGAACAATCAAATAGGTCACAACAAAACATCTGTTAATTGTAACGCTGAAGAAACTAAACATCCAGCAGTAGGGAACAAAAACAAAAACGAATCATCACAAAAAACTAGCAACTATAAAAAAGACAAACCAGAACAAAAGTAACTAGAAATAAACAGCAAAAACGTTCCTGATTCTAGAACACAATATAAAACAAAAAAGTTCTTTGACACTCGAACCAAAAAGATTGTGAATAAACAAATAGCTGATAAAAGTAATATTATTTTTGGGACAGGATCATCTGATGCATTTACCATATCACCAATCAAACGAAAATCTTTGATATACGTTGGAAGAATCTCGCAGGGGACTGGCGTTGCTGGCATAAAGCAACATATGCAAATGTTTTTTGCCAACACTAACTTTGAAATTGAAATGCTTCCTAAATGGAAGAAGAGTCGAACTGAATCGTTTAAAATAAAAGTCGACTCTGCTGTTAGAGAAATTGTTTCTGACAGTGGCAAATGGCCGGAGGGTACGCTAATAAAACCATACAAGTTCTTTCGTACAGATGACAAGTGAAGAGCATGAAACTCCTGACAACCGCAAGAGCCAGGAATGCAACGATGGTGCGGACAAGTTGAGAATCTTCAACATAAACATTCAAAGTTTATTTAATAAAATGGACCGTTTAGAATATTTTTTGGATTACAATAGTTATTGATGTGTTACTTCTATCAAAGCATTGGCTTGATAATGATCTTATTCAAAACCTTGGTCTTGGAAGCTTCAGTCTGGTAAGTTGTTTTACACGCACTAATCGTATACATGGAGGTACGGCAATATTTTCCAGAGGAAATGTCTTACATCTGTGTGCTCCAATCCAGTACCTAAACAGCCTTTCTCTAGAAATGGTTATTGAAGTCAGTGCAGTATCTTTTATGAAAATATATTGCATAATATGTATCTACAGGCCCCCAAAACCCAATAAGAGTTCTATTGACATATTCTTAGAAAGACTATTCTCTATTGTCTCGTTTGCGACAAGTAACTTCAAATATGTAATTTTAGCAGGCGACTTGAACATAGATTATTCTGGAAATGATATTTCAAAAAGATTACTAGGCGATCTGCTTGGATCATTTGAGCTTGAGTCTCATATAACTGAGTACACTCGAATTGCTTCTACCAGATATGGAATCAGCAAATCGTCAATCGACTACATAATTAGTAACTGCCCAGAAATAGTAGATGTAAAAAACGTTGACCCTGGTTTGTCAGACCATACCGGACAATTTATTTTTTGTAGCATATATCATACCATGAATACCACTGAACACCCAACTACACGGGTAATTAGAAATTTGAACTACAATTCATTGAGGGAATTTCGCCATTTATTACTGAAGCATGGGTTTGGTGACATTTAGAAGTGTAACATAAATGACTGTTTCGATGACTTTCTAGAAACGTGCTTGTGGTCTTTCGACATAGCCTTTAAACGTAAAATTGTTCATAATGAGCGATACAGCTCTCCTCATAAGAAAATTAAATTCTCTAAGTCACTTCAAGAAAAAATAGATCAATTGAATAACCTAGCATGGCTGCGTAAAGACATTCAAGATACTAGTTTGGAATCAAAATTTAAATCTTTAAGAAAAGAGGTTGATAAGACTATTCGTGATGAAAGGATTAGTTACTATCACTGTATAATCAGCAAATCTTCAAACAAACAGAAAACTACTTGGAATATTGTCAATTCAATAAAAGGTAAACAAAAGAATGCAGTTATTACAGAATTAGTCTGCGATAACGTAACTATAACCAACCCTACTGATATCGCCAACTTTTTTGGAAAATATGTATCCACTGTAATTGGCAAGAAAATGGCCAAAAATTTTACCGTTTTGTCGGATTCCTGCACTACTGGTGAAACAGCCAAACAATCAATGTTTTTCACCCATGTCACTACTGATGATGTTATATTTGTGATAAGTAATATGCCAGACAAGAAATCTACAGGACCTGATGAAATTCCAATCTATTTAGTAAAACAGAACATGGATATCTTTGCCCCAGTATTAGCAGACATCATTAATGAATCGGTTGCTGCTGGTAAATTTTCAACATCTCTTAAACTGGCATCGTTAATTATGATATTTAAAAAAGGTGAAAATTGTGATGTTGAAAACTATAGGCCAATCGCGCTATTAAGTATTTTCTCGAAAATCATTGAAAAAGTGGTTGCAATGAAAATTGAAAATTACTTTCTTAAATTTGCTATTATCACATATGCTCAACATGGTTTCAGGGCAGGCTACTCAACTGAAACAAGCATTATCGAGTATGTTCAGTATATTTGTGATAAACTTGATTTAGGTAATTACGTAGTGAGTATCCAATTTGACTTGTCTCAGGCCTTTGATTGTGTAAGTTCGTCATTTGTGGCCGATAAACTTCATCATGTTGGCATTCGCGGATGTTTGAATCAATGGCTAGTTAGCTTTTTAGAGAATAGAAAATTTTATGTTACTGTCGCTGATAAAAAATCTGATGAATTCAATTTAGATTGGGGCACACCTCAAGGCAGCGTCCTTGGACCACTTATTTTCTCGATTTTCATAAATGATTTGCCTGCACACTTATCCTACGGAAAATTACTTTTGTATGCAGACGACTCAAATATCATTTTAGCTGACTCATCGCAAGATCGTCTTCAAGAAAAAATTAATGATTCGGTTAATGAGTTCAGTCAATGGTGCTTCAAAAACAGACTAATAATAAATACAAAAAGACCGTTTCAGTTGAATATTTTATGAAACCAAAAATTCCGTCAAATTTTAATTTCAGTCTTCAATGCAAGACAGTTGTAACTTCCAAAAAAACTGTTTTTTATGTGTAAGCTTTGATTGCAATTTAAGATGGACAGAGCAAATTGATTCCGTATATAAGAAACTTGGAAAAAGTCTGTATTTAATACTTACGCTAGGGAGGATGTTAAACACCTCAGCATTAATGGATGTCTACTATGCATGTGTACACTCTGTCATTTCATATGGCATTACTGCGTGGGGCCAGGCTAGTGAAATCTCTAGAGTGTTTGTCTTACAAAAAAGAATCATTCGCATTATATTTAAAATACGGTCCAGATCCTCCTGTAGTGAGATATTTGTTAAACACAAAATACTTACAGTAGCATGTATATATCTTTATAATCTTTTAACATATATTTTTCAGCACAGAAATTATTATCTTAAGCATACTGACATCCATGACTACAGCACTCGTAATAAAAATAATATAGGCATGTGTTATATCATACGTTTCATTCAAAATCTCCCATAACAGCAGGAATATACTTTTTTAATTTATTACCTCCGGGGATCAAAAACGTAAACTCCGTGGGGCTTTTCAAAAGACGTTTGCGGAACAAGCTATCGGACTGCGGTTTTTATGACCTAGGTGAATTTGTCACATTCCACAGTGCTTCTGATAGATCTTTACAAATAATTTATTGCCATGTGTGTATCATATGGTTTTTTATGTTCTTATTTATTATATTGTTATTTGTATTTTACTTCCTTTTATCTATATTTTAATCTGTATACACCGACTTATCCAATGTCTACAATGTAGATCTAACTGGATCAATAAATGAATCTGAATCTATAAATAACCCGTCGGAAACAGCTAATAGATATACTTCATTGGCAGCATATTGAGTAATAATTTTCTCGCATAGCAAATATCACTGTTTTTATACATATGCAGACCAAAACACATAATTATCCCGATGCGATCTTGTTACTCAACCAACTTTCTTTCTTTCACATCTTCTCAGAGATAAACACTACAAACTACTCGGCTTTCTGCATAAAGACACAATTACTCACTCCATGCAGAGTAAAATACCAGCAATGTTTTTGACTATCAGGCTGACATTACCCTAAAATTGCTCGAATACGCGGGTTCCATTAAGTTCCACATAGATTAGAGTTTGTCAAATAGAAAGTTAACTTGCGAATGACAAACTAAGCTTGAACATCCAAGTAGATAAATATGGTTGACCTTATATCAATCACTACCTACAATACGAGATACGGGCCTAACTTAATGATTCACATGCTCATCATTAGAGAACCAAATGACCTAAATTGAGGATCACGATTAGTCTTAAAAAGGCCAATAAAATACTCACGGGAGCATCCAGAAGAGGCATATTTAAAAGCTCAGTGCTCAGGTCAGAGATACCGTTCGCATTATGTCTTGGCGAGGATACTCTCTGTCTTTTTGACAGCGAGATTCTGGCAGTGGCAGTCTCGGTGCTCGTTCTCTTCACCGGCGTCTGAAAAAAAAAACATATTTCATCAACAAAACATATCGCTAATAACATAAATAATAGTTCTATCACCACAACCACATGCACAGAAATAATAATAGAATTAGGTGAACTATTTTGAAAGGCAAATATCCAAACATAGTATTACATCATTGGTTGAATATTTATTTACGCTTCTGGTCAGGAATATGAAGCCACATACTAAAATTTCTAGCTGTCTTTCTGTCGGTCAGAAATGAATAATTTACTCGTATATACAGGTCAACACATTGTCAAGCTTCAATTTGACAAGGACCACAAAACGAAATAAGAAGGCTCTCGGGTACCCATATAATTCCTATGTAAACTTACAGTGCATTTCAGAGAAGTCCCGCCCTACTTATTTTTTAAACGGGTCAGGCTGACAAGCCGAAAATTGAGATGGTGAAGTTGACGTATGAATACCATATTTTAACATAAAAACAACCGTTGAAAATTTCAAGATGGCGGCTGATATTTTGAAATTTCCAACTGGCTCTTTTACGTTATAAATATAGACTCATGAATGTCAATTTCATTGTCTCGAATTCCACACGAAAATTGAGCATATGAAAGATAATGGCTTACTGGAGGCAATCACTGAATATTTTTAGAAAAAAACTTTTTCGTAAGGGAAGTTTTAGAAAAGAAGAAAATTTTAGTTCCAATATAATTTATTCTTACAATATAATCAAGAAATTTGAAAATATGATGGGTAAAAAATATTTAATGTTCTGTGAAGAGCGCATTTGTCCACTTTTCATAGAAAAATACATACATTACATAATTTTTTTTTGAAATCCCAAAAATGCATGTAATATTCTTTACATAACAGATTATAGGGAAAATGCAAAGTATGCTTCCTTTAAATCATTATATACAACTAGAAGAACTGTGTTTACATATAAAAACAGAACTATCGAAGAGTCTTATCGCCGTTTCGTCAGGCAATTGTAGGACGGATTTATGGCTTTTCCTATCCTTCTGAATTTCTACTGATTCGTACTTGCGCTCTATTTTTAGGTTATATTTTCTTTTTAAATTCTACGAAATTACTGGCTGATAAAACTTGATTTTTATCATCCGTTTTATCAGCCTGAAATTCCCTAAGGTTCAAAAAGAAATCATAACCTCCCAATAGCAGAGCGCTGACGCTAACGCGGAACAGTAGAAACCATAAATACCTCAACCTTTCTGAAGGAGAGAAAACTATGAAAATCAAGGAGGCCATAAAGGCGTCCTACAATTGTAGGAACGACTGACATATATAAGGGATACAGTAGGTTATCCACTGAAAAGTTTGACAGTCACTATTTCGCACTTGCTTCCTTTGAATTATTCGCCTGTCCAGTTTTGAAATTGCATTTTACTAGTGTACGTGTATCACCAAGCATGAACTTCATTTAGTATTATTCATTTTGACAAGGCTTATATAGAAAGAATATACTGTGCATCCATGATAGAAAACGCTGTCAAAAGTGCCAATCTTCGATAACTGTTGAGACACATCCGCATTTCGTATTTTTTTTTAGGCAGTTTCAATTCATTATGAATAACTTTTCATATGATTGTTTAGCATTCATAATTGATTTTTTAAGAAGTTTGGAAATTTTGTTTTCTTGATAGATTTATTAATCGCACGGGATACATAAATGTTCGGTCAGTCACAATAATTTTGAAAAGGTAGGTCACACAATAAAAAATGTGTGGCATATTTTAGGGCTGTTTTCCTAGAAAAATCATCGAAGTTCATTTAGTATTGAATGCATCGCATAATATGGGAAGGTAAATTTCTTCGAGGCCACAACCATAAACCATATATTTTTTAAAACGCCATTTGGAAAAAAAAAATCCTGCAAGCGTCCTTGGTGATCATACCATGGTTATTAAATAGGTGGTGACACCAAAATCAAAGGGACCAACAATAGCTGTATCTAATCTGTGACATATACAATATACAGGGTATTTCAAAAAACAGCACTACATATTTCTAGAGCAGAAAGTGTGTCAAAAAATAACATAATTTCATTGTCATGCATGGTGTTGTAAAGTTCTACGCCACTGATGAGACTGATTAAGGACAAAACATATTATATTGATAAAACAACGCTATGGCGAGAGTCCATTACTCAACATAATGCATACAATTTTCTATTCCAAACTTCGCTGAGGAGTTTTTTTAAAGTAGAACGGGTTGAAGTTTTTTATACGAATTTTACCCCAAATAGTCAAACCATTTTTTCTCCAAAATAAGTTGCCAGAAAAAAATTTCTTAAAAGAAGCCATTTATGTAAAATTGAATAGCTTATCCAAAAATGCAATACATGTTTCAAACGTCAGTGGCGTAGGAAATAATATTCTTTTTTATTCTGTAGTGGTCAAAATTCCCAAATTTCAATGCCACGAGTGTAGCAGTAGTAGTAGTAGTCTAAGCCACGAAAATGCAATGTATTGGCTGTGTCGTTAGTACTACATATATGACCAACAAAGAAGGAATCTAATAAATATAATAGGTGACGAACAAAACATAAATCCCATTTCTATTAAGTGGCGCTTCATCTACTAACCGAACAACTACTAGTAAGTTTGACGTGTTTATGGTTTGACCTACTGAATACTTACTGTTGGCAAAATTTCGGATAAATTGAAAACTACGGATAAGAAGAACGAAAAGTTCAACAAAGCTTGCATGAAGGAAATATTTGATGAATAATCAATAATCAAGTTGCAATTGATGAAGTACAAAGTGAAAATCGATGCGAAAAGGGACAATATATTTATACCTATGGCATACATTTATTAGATTTTATTTAATTTTTCAGGTAAAGTCCTCATTACTGAAACTACCGCGTCTACCATAAAATGTTTTATCATTCGGACGTGCTGTTCAACCGTGTAACTTGCAATGGTGATTTGGCATCAGTAACTGAATCATATCTCAGCCTCATCCTCGATTACAACATAACTTAGACACTTGTAGTTGCACTATTTCACACAGTCCAGTACAAACGTTTAGAGAAAAGTGACAACATCGCTTCCCGTCCTCGATGTCATCCACTCTGTATTACTCAGTGCTCTGTTTTGTACAGTTAGGTACGAACGTGAAAATAATTACCGCGCAAAAAGTGCTTGTGTACTGTTAAAAAAAATGGGAAAACGGAAGCGAGAAGACAAATAAACTCTTATGAAACTCAAGAGGAAAATAAGAAAACTAGAAAGACGTCTAGTTTCCACCTCTGAATCTAGTAAGTACATCCACTAATTTACAATTTTAGATACAGTAAAGGCGAATCTACTTGGTATTTGTTCTAGAATTCCATCCCCCGGGGTGCCACATGAACCCCAACAATTATAAAAGCGTGTAACAAGCGATAAGGCCAAATTCATTTACAAATGTAATAGTGCAAGGCCAAATAGGGGGAGGCAGTCACATGAGTTGCCAAGTTAATACTGTCAACCACAGTAAAACATCTCTGTAACACATGTTATAGATCAAGAAAGGAAAATTCCTTACCTAGGAAGTTAAAAACAAAAAAAAAAAGCCGAATATTTCGTGCCTTGACAGTGATACACCGTATAGAAATGGATCAGATTATATTATTTTTACATTTATAGATCCACAAAGATAAATTATACATCCAAGTCTGTTTAGGAAAGTGATAGAGTGCCGAGTTTGTAGCGCAGCATGTAAAACGATTATCTTTAGGCTTTTCGCTGAATAAGCGATGTTGCCGCTGCCGCTAAATAGTCAACAGAGAGATATCCGATAATATTACGGGTGTTGAATTTGATTGATTTATTAATAATACAGGGATATATTTCTATCCTAGGTTCTGATACTTCTGGCTCAGAAGAAAAAACATCAGACAGCGAGTCGGAAGTAGAAATGAATGAGTTCGCGCCAGCGCTATCTCCCATAGACCAAAACGTGCAACAGGATGCCAGTCAAATGCCCACTTCAGATATCGCCCCTATGCATCTACTAATGCTTAATAGAGCAGAAGACAGCAATAAAGGGCCAGAAATTCATGAAGGAATCGCTTGTTTGTGGAAAGAAATCTTAACTAAGGGCATCGATCGAGAAAATAGGAATCAAATGTTGAAAAAGTATCCTATAATAAAAAAATGCAAAACTCTTCTAGCACCTTCAGTTAATGGAGAGATCATGGAGGCACTAGAAAATGAGGCACTTAAAAAGACAGATAACTTTTTAAGTAAATTACAAGACCAGTTAGGCAGCGCTTTAAGCGCACTGGCTGTCCCCTTAGATAGTATGTTTTCTAAACCATCAGAAAACACTAATTCCCTTGTGGAGAATTTGATGGATGCTGGAAAATTATTTGTTGATATGCATCATACCATTTCTCTACACCGACGGTTCTTAATTGGACCAAGTTTAAATCCAGCGTTGAAGAAGATTGTTGAAGATTCTAAAATAGATTCCCTGTCGTATGGGGAAGACTTCCCGGAAAGGCTGAAGAACCAGCAGGAGATCCAACGTTCAAGCAAACAACTAAAAATAGCTAAGCCCAAGGTTACTCATTCAACTAGTACCTTTAAAGGATACCGGGCAGGTCCTTCACAGGAAAAGAAGTTTTATACAAAAAAATTTCATCGCCCCTCCGAGTTATTGAGGCTGAAGAAAGGGGGGAGAAACAGATGGAGAGCCAGAAGAAGCAATATCGGACACCATCCAGCCACTACAAGTCCCAATACAGAAAATGCAGATGAACGTGAGTAATGAGTATGCAGGACGGCTTAGATTTTTTGTTAGTGTATGGAAGCAGTTAACAACTAATCCTTAGTTTTAAAGTGGTTAAACGGATACAAAATACCCTCAGAAAGACTCCCAAACAAAAATATTTCTTTAAAAAGAGAATCAATAAAAAAGAGGGGAAGTTGTATCAGGATCAAATTAAAACTCTGTTATAAATTGAAGTGATAAAAAATCTAGACGTATAAGAGGAGAATTCCTTTCTTCCTACTTTTTAGTAAGAAAACCCAATGGATCATTTAGATTCATCCTGAACCTTAAAAAGCTAAATACGCTTTTAACTCCGCCCCATTTTAAACTAGAGGATTATAGATCTACCTTAAAAATAATACAAAAAGATTGCTATATGACTACAATTGACCTTAAAGACGCTTACTTTTTGATATCCGTTAATAAGAAGTACCGGAAATACTTGAGGTTTTTGTTTGGCAGTCAAAGATACGAGTTTAGATGTATCCCATTTGGTCTATGTACTGCACCTTTTTAGTAGTATATTTAGACGATATACTTATACAAGGAGACTCCTCAACAGAATGTAAACAAAATACAGATTTAATTCAAAATATTTCAACTTCATTAGGTTTCTTAATAAATTATGAAATAGCTCTTTGATCCCCAAAAAATAATGCACATTCTTAGGTTTTTTTATACAGGGTGCGGCAGAGAGGATGGACGGTTTTAAAAAAATCATAAAATGGTTAATTTTTACTCGAAAACAAATTTATTGATGGAATCAGGTTCACAAGGAAATATCATTGGAGACAGTCAAGTGTAGAAAATCACATCAGGCATGTGGTGGCCGAAATCGTTGATGCAGTGCTGGAGGCGTTCTTGGAAGTTCGCGTAGACTCTCTCTAACATCGCTCTCTCAACTTGGGCGACTTCCACGCGAATTTCGCCCTAAGACAAGACAAAATGAGGTTCTCATTTTGATCGATCAGTGCTTCCATCTCACGTGCGAAGTTCATTCGTTGTGCATAACCTCCGGGCTGTAACTGTTGCACAATGGCCAAATTGTAGGGATGAAAGCGGAGATCCATATGCAAATTCGCCTTTCCGAACGATCACTAAGGCGAAGTGCAGCAGCATGTTTCCGAGCAGATCGAGTCGGACGCGTTCAACATTTTCAGGAGTTCGAACTGTTCGCGGCGCTCCTCTTGGTCTTCTGTTGATCAGTTCACCACGCCTGCGAAGTGATTCAACCCAACGAAAGATGGTGTTTCGAGAGGGAACAGCTCTATTCCGATGAATGTTGAAGTGGCGACGAAACTCACGCTGTACGACGATGACTGACTCATTATTTCGGACGAAACAATCATAGGCGAAAACGCGGTGCTCCACCGTCCAAGGCTCCATAACGACAACTGGTAAAATAATGCTAGGATCTCACGAGTCAAACGACACCCTCCCCACCTCTCTCGTAGACGGAGGCGGAGAGTACTACCCATCCCAAAAACGTCCGTCCTATCTGTCGCACCCTGTATAATTCGAAAAAGCTAATATTTTCGTTAACAAAGAAAAGAAAACAAAAGATTTTTGATTTGGCACAAAAAATGTCTCATAAAACTCATTGTACAAGTAGAGAATTTGCTAAGTTTGTGGGAGTTCTTGTATCAGCCTGTCCGGCAGTGAAATATGGTTGGAAACATACGAAAAATTTAGAAAGATCAAAGTTCCTTGCCCTGAAAAATAGTAGAGGTTGTTACGACAAAACGATGCCAATACCACAAACCCTTAAACCTACAATTACTTGGTGGCAAAATACAATTTGGCAATCACAATTAAATATAAAACAAGAACCATATTTATTTGAAATGTTTTGCGATGCATCAAAATCTGGCTGGGGCGGTTATTGTAATAAAAAGAAAGTTCATGGGGTTTGATCTACAAAAGAAAGGGCATATCATATAACTATACTTGAATTATTGGCCGTTCTTAATGTGTTAAAGTGTTTTACAAAAAACCAAAAGGACTGTTATGTACTGTTAACAGTAGATAATAGTACTGCTGTTTCTTACATAAATCGAATGGGAGGTGTAAAATATAAGAAACTCAATGAAGTTACAACAGGGATTTGGGACTGGTGCGAACTTAGAGGTTTATATAATATATAACCCGTGTTTAAAAACTTATTATAAGCGATCTTATTTAGTTAAAGCCTAGTAAAAATTTACTTTTATCTCCCTTCAGAAAAGAACACCCACTATGGAGGAAAATTTCCCTGGGGGCGGTGATTTTATCAGGAGAGCATTTATATTAAAAGAATATCGAAAGTCAGGCATAGACACGTTGTTAGCGTCATTAGCAAATAACACCTTAAGGCATACACCCACTGCTATAAGAAGTGGTGGGATTATAGTATAAAAATTCAGAGCAGTCCTTATGATTACGAATTGAAAAAGTTGATCGAATTTTTTAATGGACAGATGAGAACTGGAAGCTCTTATTCTACAATTAATTATTGTAGATCGGCTTTATCTTTAGTGCTTAATATTAATAGTAACGACCAACCTATTATTAAGCGATACCTTAAGGGAGTTTATAAAATGAACACGCCTAGAGCAAAGTATACATCAACGTGGGATCCTCAAATAGTCTTAGAATTCTTAGCGAAATGGTACCCTTTGGAAGGTTTAAACCTACAAAAATTAACATACAAATTAGTTATGCTAGTTAGCTTATTAACGGCCCACAGGATTCAGACTATCCCTCAAATCAGAATATCAAATATAGTATGGTATGCTGATAGAGCTGAGGTCCTCATTACCGATAAGATTAATCCCAAAATGAAACAGCCTATCTTAATATTACCATTTTTTAAAGAAAAACCTGAGCTCTGTGTGGCTAGAGTTTTGAAACTCTATATTGAAAAAACAAAAGAGTTAAGAGTGCCGGATACCGATTTTTTATTACTTACACATAAAAGGCCACATCATGCCGCTAGTTCACAGACCATAAGTAGGTGGTTAAAGGAGGTTATGAAAAATGCTAGAATTGATGTTTCTCTGTACACCAGTTATTCAGTCAGACATGATTCTACATCCGCTGCAAATAGGGTATGGGTAGACATTTCAGCAATAAGAAGTGCAGCAGGATGGTCCGAAAAATCAGAAACGTTCGCTAATTTTTATAATCGGCCATTAGTAGAGGACCCCACTACCTTCGCAAAGGGTGTGATTAGAGCTTATAACATTTAAACATAGCATTTAATTATCACTACTAGTATTACATGCATTATAATGATTACATATATTTTGATTACAATATGTATAGGTTAGTCAGATAGATTAATTACATTGGGGATGTAGAAATAAGCGTATAGTTACGTGAATTTAAGTTAAGCTCTGCGATTTGAAATGAAATACATTAGTACTTAAAATTACTATTTTTATAGATATATTATACACATATTATGTAGGTGTTCATATAAATAAATAATGTGTTAATTTATAGCCAGATCGTTAAAGTTACTTTAAACATCTACAAGTGTCTAAGTTATGTTGTAATCTTCGGATGAGGCTGAGATTTAATTCCGATCAATCTTCCTTAACAGGTAAGTCAGTTGATCTATTAATAATATAAAACAACCAAAACAATATGGCCGCCACGGGCCGCCAACATCTACCCGATCCATTAGAAAAACCTTATTATTGCGTTCTATTCGAAGTTTTTTTCCGCAACTCCTATGTCTGAAGAACTAGTTGTCGAGTCAGAAGGTTTATTTCATTTTCCATCGTTGGTTTTAAATACCGAACTCACAAACCAAACATTTGAATGCATATTTGAATAGATTTTCTTTTACATTATAGACGTTAGACAGCGTAATTGACATTGACTTCAATTAGAAAATACGAGTAATGTTCAGGATTCCGACTTTTCACATTGACATCGTTGAAGAGCACTGTTACTAATTTCTATATAAAGATGGTATTTTGGTTATCATTTTATAAATGCGAAGACATATATTTTCTCTGATTTCAACATTATAAGCTACCTAACTAACCGAACACCTAATATCTTGGTGATCCGTGTTTTATTAACGTTTCGTGTTATTTTTAATAGTCCTTTCTACTCTAGCAATATTAGCATTGTTTTTTTGAATTACCCCATATCAGAATTGTATAATGATTCAGTTATAGTTTTCGATTTCGAAATTGTAACAGCCTGAATCTCAGTAAGGGGATATTTTAGAACCCATGTTTATATGAACTTTTCATCCTATTTTTATATACTGTACGCCCCAGAATTATTGCCACTATTTTCTGAATCACCGTGTATATCATTTTGTCCAAATAGTTCACCTAATTTTTAAACAGAAAATCTTTATATTTTGTGGTAAGCTTAGATGCAGGAGTCAATGACAGAAATATATGGGTCATTGTATAACTTAAGTTCCAATTACTTGATGTTAATCTGGGTATAACCCCAATTCCATCGGTGAAATAATTGCAAGGAATTTAGTTATGAAGCAACTGTTACGTTTTATAGCAATGCCGATTTTTCAATTTCTAGTTAACAGGATACAACTCAGACAGACCTTGTTCTTAGGTGAAGTCAATCCCTCTATTGGTCCAGTCAAACGAATTTTAAACCACTAAAAAAAGTAAACCGTTCGTTAGTTTATTATCTTTTTGGACTCTATGTATCATTGTGTTTATGTTCTATCTAGTGATATGATTACTTTCAAAGTGAGTAATAAGAAATGAGAAATAACTGATGGTGGGACAAAGTCATACAGACTGTATACTTCTATGTTTTTATTTATAGGTCGATTTTAGTTAAATTTGAAGTACTTATGTGCGGTTTACGATTTTGCAACGTAAGTAGTCATCATAGCAAACTCGCCTGTTTAAATGAAAATTAAAAATGAAAACTACAGAAGTACAGCCTCGTTGTTGCAAATATAAATGAGGCAACAATAGTCCCAAATATTTAAGTGCATGCCAAAAGTCTCGCAAGTGATAGGATTTTACTAAAATTACAACTTACAAGGGTATTATTACAACCAGCTTTAGGCTTTCCCCTCATAACTGAGCGTTTTTAAATGGAAACGGTTTGGGTTTATCATCCCACAAAATGGCGTTAAAAATGTATATTGCTGGTACAGGCTGGTTCAAAAACTGCTTGTCACTGTTACAACCCACTTGACCTGGGCCAACCATTTTTAGTTTATGTTTCAATTGATCTTCGTAATATAAAACATATGGAGTATTTTCAGAAAGGAATGAAAGCAATGGTCCAATATTAATCTATTCATGAGTGCAAGAAAATCCGTGTTTAAGATCGGTTTGCCCAGTGTGCTATTTTCTTAATGAAGCCTCAGCTCCGCATATGGTTCAGTTAGTCGATTAGCTTACTCATTTCGTATAGAACTGATGTTGTAATCGCCAAAAACCGTGAACTATATGTATTTTAAGCTTTCATCAACATGTTTTTTTTTTAAACATGATTGTTCTTTAAAGCCCAAATTTCGCAATTTTGGCATTTTTGTCAAAAAAAATTATTTTTACATGAGCGTATGGTCGCAACATCAAATCTATGATAAAACACATGGATACATAAAATATATATAAAAGTAAAAGAGTTGAACTCTCATTATAAGTGTATTGATTTGTCTCAACTATTGTTTATTTTGTGAGCGGAGTGGATGTTCTGTGTCTTAATGTGATTTATTTTATAATTGAAGTAGAAAATGTTGCGGCCATGCACTCATATAAGTTGGATCGGTAAATGTTGGACAAAAATGCCCAAACATACTTTCTAAAATATTTAGATGCAAAAATTCCATGCGTTCAATCTGAAATTTGAGTTATTTTCAGTGCCGAAAACCCCGCTTATTATTCCTGATCCTTTACATTTTGTAATGTGGCTAATTATTCTGCTCTCTAGAAACCAAATATGGTAAAATATACAGGGTGGCCCATTCATGTGTGGACGGAATATAATACACAAATACATTTTGGGAAAATCTATTTATGGGATGTTATACATGACATTTGAGGGCACATTTCTAAAATATTGGCCATTATACAGGGTGTCCCAATTTCGCCCAACATATCAAAGTTGTGATTTTTCAAATGGAATGCCTCAAATTTTATTGCATATTTGGATAAACCACTTTCAAAAGAATAAAATAATAAAATTGATATAACATAATTAGCTACTGTGACAATGTGACATCATTATGTTGAAAGAAGTTTATTGTGACTCTTGCAACATGTGGTCGGGCATTATCTTGTTGGAAAGTTGGATCTGCCAGGGTGTCAAGATAGGTCAAAGATGGGGTTCTAGAACTTCGTGGATATAACGCTGCGCGTTCATGTTACCTCTGATGAAGATTAAAGGTGACCTGGAACCATAAGCTATAGCACCCCAAACCATAACTCCAACAGTGTGATGAACATGTCTTTCAACAAAAAACTGTGGATTCCTCCTTTCACCACGTCGCCTTCTAACCCTGGCACGACCATCGTGCATGCCTAAACAAAATCGAGACTCGTCACTAAAGACAATACTGTTCCATTCCTGATCCCAGAGTGACCGTTGTCTGCACCACTGTTGGAGTTATGGTTTGGGGTGCTATAGCTTATGGTTCCAGGTCACCTTTAATCTTCATCAGAGGTAACATGAACGCGCAGCGTTATATCCACGAAGTTCTAGAACCCCATCTTTTACCTTATCTTCACACCCTGGCAGATCCAACTTTCCAACAAGATAATGCCCGACCACATGTTGTAAGAATCACAATAGACTTCTTTCAACATAATGATGTCACATTGTTACCATGGCCACCAAGATCTCCCGACTTATCCCCAATTGAGCACGTGTGGGATATGATGGGTAGGAGATTGCTCAATTTGCAACGTCCTCCTCAGACTCTAGAAGCACTTCGAGAGGAGTTGGTGGTTGCCTGGAATGAGATACCACAGGAGGACATTGACCACCTGATCAGAAGCATGCCTAGGCGCGTTGGAGAATGCGTAGCACATCAGGGTGCATCCACACATTATTAAAGGTCAAAGGGCTTTAAAGCAGTGCAATCATTTTCAAATTTTTATCATTTACTTATTATGCTTCATTAAGTACTTATACAAAATTTTATTAAAATAAAACCATTTAAACTGGGTGTTCGGATTTATATGTCACTTAGTATATTTGTGCAAGTTTGGATTAATTTTTTATAAGTTTTTTTTGATACTAGACACAAGGGTTTTTTTTCTGTTATTAGCACTTCCGTTATGGAACGGCTTAATTCCCTGGCGAAGCCCAAAGAAATAGTTTCCTAGCATCTCGCATTTATAAGCAACGGTACCCTAACATGCGACGTCCAAGGCCGGAAACATTTTCCACACTACAGGGACGTTTTGAATCAGCTAGTGGAATATAGTAAAAAATGTATAAATAATCCAACTGTCGCCAATGAGGCGAATCAGTTGGAGGTTCTATTAAAGTTGCAGGAAAATCCCCATTTAAGTGCACGGCAAATGGGAGCAGAAACTGATATATGCAGAACTTCTGTCCAAAGGATTATTCACTAGCATAGGTACCATCCATATCACCTATGCTTGCATCAAGGCCTTCGGCGTCAGGATTTCGGAGCTTGAATGGAGTTTAGTAGAATAATGCTAAATAAAGTGAGGGAAGGCACTACTTTCCTGGATAAGGTTCTTTTTAGCGATGAGACAACTTTTAACAGCATAGGTGTTGGCAACAGGCATAACATGCACTGTTATGCGACGGAAAACTCTTACTGGGTTAGGCAAATAGTTTCCAAAATAAATGGAGCTTGAGTGTTTGGGGATGAGTTATTGGCAGACAAGTTATCGGGTCATTATTTTTCGACAACAGATTAATAGGTACAGAATACTTGAATATTTTGATCGAGCATTTGCCTTTGCTTTTGGAGGATGTCAACCTGCAAACTCGGATGCATATGTACTTCCAACATGACGGCGCACCTGCGCATTATCATAATCGTGTGCGTAACAATTTGGACACCTGGAGTAACAATCGTTGGATCGGTCGTGATGGGCCTATATCTTGGCCTCCTAGATCACCAGATATGACACCGATGGACTTCTTTCTATGGGGCTACGTTAAGCAAGAGGTTTATAGATATCCACCATCTACCCCGGAAAATGTAAAGGAAAGGATTAAGGATGCTTTTCTGAACATAAGGGAACACATGCCGAGGGATGTGCAACGGTCATTCATCCAAAGACTACGGCTGTGTGTTCAACATGGTGGAGATATTTCCGAGCAGTTTTTGTAGATTAGGTCTTGAGTAGTGATAGTTGTTTGTTTATGTTGTTATAGTTGTTTTTCTCTATTATGCTTGAAGCTGATTTATACTGTTCTGATTGTATTAGTTTTTACGTCAAATCTGTACTCTTAGTGGCAATATGGGACTAGCCCACTGTTTGTCTTTTGTTTCCATGTATGATGTGATTTTTTTCCTTAATTTTGGTGTGTTGTTCTAATAAAAGTTTAATAACTCAAAATCTAGTGATTTTATCTGAATCAAACTTTATACAAAAAAAGCTTATAAAAATTTAAATCCAAACTTGCATAAATATACAGGGTGATGCATTTGAAATGTTTGAGAAAAACTACAATTCGTGTTTTTGACCACCCTGTATGAGCAAAAATGAAAATATCGAAAAAGTTTCATATGAGATAAAAGCTGAGGGGTGTATGTTTTTTTTGATACAAAATTCAGTACTCCAAATTCCAAAATGGCGGATTGAGGGGTTGCCGAAGTGGACGGTTTTCTGGACAAAACACCTTGCATCTCAGTAGCTAATTACCAAAACCCCATAGTATGTTATATCAATCTTCTTCTTTTGAATTGGTTTATCCAAATCTGCAATAAAATTTGAGGCATTCCATTTAAAAAATCACAACTTTGATATGTAGGTCAAAATTGGTACAGCCTGTACAATTGCTAATATTTTATAAATGTGCCCTCAAATGTCATGTATAACATGCCATAAATAGATTTCCCCAAAATCTATTTGTCTATGAGTAATATTCCGTCCACACATGGATGGGCCACCCTGTATATGATGTACCATTTAAAAATCTGTACAGCTATCTTGGCCAATTACGTAACAATTTGCAATTTTTACATAATATACGTATTGCAAATTCCATCGCAACTGATCCATAAGCAATAGTGATAATCATACCCTATTTCTCTGTGTCACCTGGTATATATGATGATGTATTTTAAAAAAGTAACCATAGATTCAAAATAAATCAGCACTTCGCTGGGATCGAATATTCTAGCATCTTTGCGTCGACATTCAAGACCGACCATTTCTATTAACGTTTCTTGTTTTAATACCTGATAATAACGACATGTACGAACAGGAACAGGAATACCGTTCATCCGAAAGACCGAAACCAACGATCTAAGCATTTAGTGTTCGCGTAGAAGCATTGCTTGCGTCAACACCAGCCCAACAGTTTAGGATTGTTGCTGGTTCAGCCATTCAGCGCATAGTATGGCGCATGCATGTGTCGACTTGTCAAGTTTGAAAGTTATACAAATAGGTTAGTTCAAGAGCTTGTTATCGTCAATCGTATTGGTCGACAATTATTTGAAGAAAAGCATGGAAAACCAGAATATAGTTGGTAGCTAAAAAAATGGTTAATAGTACAAATCAGGCGAGCTTGATGTTTCCATGTCATATATCTGTCAAATGCTACAGCAGTCTAACGCTACCGCTGCACATTACCGATTTCGCTCGAACAGTTCTCGCAACAGCTTTTTCTGGGATGGACACAAGCAATAATACATCAAACCCATAGCAGTTAAAGTTCCGGAAATCAAAAAAATGTGCGTCGACAAGAGACAACTCTTTTTTACAACCTGGCTGGATCCATCAGAGGAAACTAGACACAGAAAAGAGTCGACCACATGAAAATATAAATATCGCCCGCTTGATGTTGATGGTCAATCAAGACATGAAACTCAGATTGTAGTAATTCTAAATCAAGATAAATACTTTTTGTCCACGCTCAACGATCATATTTAAGCATCAATTGTTCTTCCAATACTGATTGCGATATTGCGATTAATCAGAATAAAGCAGATGCTACATAATATAGTAAGGATCAGATATGAAAGGCAAACATCAAGTCGTGTTAGGCCAGTCGTACATTGAATCGATTTTTGTCTGAAACCTGTTCGTAAGAATTCTGATTTTGTGATTTTGTACATTCGCATATTTTAGTGCAAAACGGCCCAAACAGGATCCATTTATCTTAAAATCATGTCAAACATAAACCGAAAAGCACATAGTGCCATCACAATTTGAAATGTAAGCTTGATATTTTAACACAGCTTTTGAAATCATTTTTTACAGTCGCAACACCCATCAAATCAACGCCTCGAAATGGGTCAGAGTCAGAGGATAAGAATCAACCCACGTGCAGACGAACAGATTTCAGTTAAAAAGGATACACAGCTAGATACTGATAAATAAATCTTATGCATTTATTTGAATCACGTTTTGTTGTGAGCACCTTGGGAAGTGTATGATTTAAAAGTGCATAGTTCAACCAACAGGCCTATTTGCTCACTGATTGTTTCAGAAATAATATCCCAACTAATTCACTGACTGAATAAATTGTTAAGGTGGCATATTAATACAAAAAATATTTCACTATTGTGGAATATATAAAATTTCGGAAAATATTTTGAGAAATAAGAGACCTTCAGGGACGCTATTAAATGATGTAGCCATAGTAATTTAAATATTTCACAGCAACACATTTTCTGTATGACATCAGTGTCCTGTCTCACCTTCTGATCGCGGTCTTTGGTCTTGGTCTCTATGCGAGTGTCCACCTTTTATCGTAGCCAAAGCTCTAGGCGCATTCCTCACGGGGAATTTTCTCCGAAAATGTTACTTTTTCATGCTGATAAAAAATGTCAATAGGAACCAAGCCTCGAGAGACTCGCCTTCAAGAGGTACGGTAGACGCTTAGAGTATGCACCAAGTATACATTTGCAGAAGGAAGGTGAAGGTCAGCAAGTGTTTGATAGTGACGAGCACAACATTCTATAATATTGAAGCAACATGGACACAGCGTACCAATGTTCTGAATCCAGTATTATATGTGCAACAGTTGCTAAAGATTGAAGCCTCTTTTCAGTTAGCTTCATGATCTGTTGCAAATGATATCCATAATTGATTTAAACAAGACTATATCCACGCTTCTCCAGGAGCACAACTTCAATGATGGATATCCTATCCAATAGATCATGAAACTAACAGAGATGTAGACCCAATCTCAAGTTAATGTTGTATGTGTAAAACTGGAGCTAGAACACTGGCATATTGTGGCCATGTAGCCTCAGCAGTATGGTAGCCCGGACACGCTCGTCATCTCGTCACCATCAGAATGTTGCTTAGCCACCAAACTTCCTTCTGAATTATATCGAATACGCGCGACGGAATAATTAAATAAAAACTATGCAGTCAAGCGCACCTTGCTTTACTACTCTATAGTGACATGACTTGCCTGTCATACTAGAATCACTCGTCAGCAAGTGCATACTTGGTTCATACTTTAAAGAACTGCCTTCCGTCACTTTTTTTATCTCTGTATAAATACACACCTTTGAGGCTTGAACTCTTGAAGATGAGTATATAGAGTTTTGTGCCCATAGAGACTTTTATTCAACACAAAAAATGGTAGGTTATCTCTGCACTTCTTACGCAACGCAAGATTACGTATTATTTATTAGTTTTGAAGGCAAATGTACGGGGAAACATATAGGATGTGTGAAATATGGAAAATAGGTATTACCAAGTTTGGGAGCTTCACACTAGGATATGCCATGTAAAGGTGTGATAAGCCTACTCTTATGAACTCACCTTTTTGGGAGGTTTCTTAGGTGAAACCAGCTGCTTAAATTTATCTTCAGAGTCCTCTACATCTTTTTCTTTCTCGGGTTCCTTGCTTTGCTCTGGAGGTAGCTCCAACACGTAAGTAGGGTCTTCCTGAAGATGAAGTGTTGCCTTATTTTCGATACCTCCACAAAATATTATGTTCAACATGCCATATGATATGATTATTTTTGGTTTACGTAAATACGATCACGTTAGTGAAAAATAAAGGGAACTGAACTGGCGTAGTCTTGTTAAACATAAGTTCTTAGTTTTAGTTCACAAAATTCTGTTGTCATCAAAGCCCGAATATCTAAGGGTCAAGGTACATTTTAATTACGAAGTTCATGACAGGGCTGTTAGAAATCGTTTCTATATCCGAACCACTCCACACAATTCTGCCTTATTCCAAAGAGGATTTACATATAATGCAGCACTATTTTATAATCAGTTAGCAAATAGTTTGAAATCAATGTATTTGCAAAAGTTTCGAAAAGATACTAAAAATATGATGCTCGCTGTTGGTTAAATAAGTTCTATACTTAGTACAGATACAAGGTTTTTTTTTAGTTAGGTATATGTGTTTATGTTGTTATTGCTTTTTTTCTTGTTCTGAACACCTAATGTAACCGACATAAAGAGCTAAGTGTAAGAGTAGCCATTGCTAAACTTCGCTGTTTACGTCCTCTTGGTTAACGAATAAAGACGTTATTATTAGTATTATTATCACACAAGTAGATATTTCCAGCAGCACGGGTGAAGAGTTTGCATTTCCTACAATTGTAGGACGCCTTATGGCCTCATTGATTGTCATAGTCTTTTCTTCTCCTTCAGAAAGGCTGGGTGTTTTTAGATTTCACCTGTTCCGTGTCAGCGTCACCGCTCTCCTATTTTGAAGTTATGTTTTCTTTTTGAAGTGTAGGAAATTTCAGACTGATAAAACAGATGATATAAACCAAAAGCATGAACAATTTGATGCAAATAGATATTTGTGACATAACCTCAAAATAGAGCGCTAACACGGAACGGTAGGAAACTATGAAAATCAAGGAGGCCATAAATGCGTCCTACAATTGTAGGAACGACTGACGATGCGGCCCTTAGAGATACCTGATTATTCACTTATCTTTAGTAAGGGAACTATATATAACCATTTCCACAATTTTGAATACAATTTCTAAGGTGTAGTATTTTGTAAATTGGAACTGTTGCAAAGACCCATATTTTAGGCCAACTTTCATAAAATTATTTAATAAGAAGAGAACATTTATAATATAATTATAAACCAACAATAGCTACAATGACTGATGGATATTTAAAATGTGGATACAAGCTTTCAAAGTGCTAATATTACACCACCTGAAACATTGCACTGCTCAGGATGGCCTATCCGTTCGTAAACATATCATTGCTTTCACAAAAAAAATATTTGCATGAACTTATTCATGATTTTATACTGTACAGGGTATCAGGGGGCACACTTCTACAACATCACAATTTCACAATAACGTGCAGAAGTTTTAAATGATTTTCCTATGTACTACTACTACTTTTGGATGACACCTGCCTAATGCCGGACAGTCGGGACAGTCGGGATTATGTCATGATGATGTCATAGAAATACTAGCGGTGACGAAACACCACATTACGAACAACGACTTAGAAAATATCACATTTACAGGCTTTGCCAAAAATGTTCTGTCATCGATACTAGGTGTTGTATAAACTATCTCGAAATAAAACAGGCCAATATTTTTATTGTTGAAGGTATCATAATAAATAACCCCATGGCAAAACTGGTGGTATGTATTTTTTAAAATTTTTATGACAATCCCAATCATTGCTAGCAACTTGTCTGAAAAATAATACTTTGTGGAGGCCTCAACATTGACCTCTTAAAAATGGATTAGTTTTTTGTAGATACATTAAATTCCTTTAAGAATACGTATTACAACTAGAGAACCAACAAGAGTATTTACAAAAAAGTACTGTTGTTTGTTCAACAGCCATCGACTATATGATAGCTGTCCGGATTATCAAACAAGTTGTAAAGTATTTAATACTATTCTAGCTGACCATTACGCTCGTTCACTTGAAATATTATATAATCATGGCGTGCAAGATAACAGCAAAAGTACACCAGAAGGCTTATTAGTGAAATTGTGTTTCATTCTTTAAAGCATCTAGTCTCACAACCAGAATGGTATCTAACGTATAATATGGTCGTCAATGAAGGTTACACATTTCTCACTGGTCCCTACAAGCTATAAAAAACTATTCACCTCAATAAAACAAAAGAACACAAATATAAATGGATCAGTGAATCTATTTTGCGTCAGAGTAAGGATCTCTATTAGCTATCGACTGTGTATCCGAACTAATTAAAAATGTATATTATAAAGAAAAACAGGAGTACAGACATCTCATAGAAAACACAAAGAATGCATACTAAAGCAACAAGCTTGAAGAAACACATAATAAAGTGAAACAAATCACTTGTGAATGAAAAAACGGGCAAACAGAATATATGTTAGATGGTAAAAGCGAGACTAACGACTCAATCATCGCTAACACATTTGTAGGATTATTTTCATCTTCATCTCTTAATAGCATTAAAAGTGTTGGACAACTGCCGGTACATATTCCATATTCATATCCCCGATAACTCTTCATGAAATCAATTAATGACAAATAGTAACAACAAATCTTCGAATGGTTTTGATATGTCGCTAGATATTTTGGGGAAAGGTGAGAGGCTAATTCTTGATCATATTGCTTTATTTAATAAATCCATAGAAGTCGGATGTTTTCTGGATGTGGTATCAGAGTTGAAAAAGGGAGTCAGTGAGATCCCTGAATACTACTGTCAGATCTCGATAATCAGCAGTATAGCCAAGTTATTGGAAAAGCATAGGTATAATCATACTAACCTGTTTCGTTGAAAAACGATGCTTACTAACAGAATCTTAAAATGGATTTAGATCTGTGAAATCTATAGAAACATCAACATGCCACTATTTGGAGACATTTATTCACATCTAGATAAACGTGAATATGTAGCAGCACTAACTTTGATCTGGCAAAAGCATTCGACACCATACCGAAAGAACACCTAACTATACGAAAAATTAGAGAAAGGTATTCGTGGAATACCCCTGAAATAAAGTATATCATACAAGAGTTCATGGTAAAATTGAAACAGTTAGATCGCATAGCACGGATCTAGATTTAAGGGTGCCACAGGGTACTGTCCTAGGGCTACTAATCTTTTTTTATGTCCATGACCTGCCGCTTTATATATCACGCGGGAGGATAGCTATGTTCGCTGATGATATGACGAAAACACAGCTCACGGACCGAATCCCCAAGAGATCCAACGCAATGGAGCCCATGTCGTAGATGAGTTTAGTGGCTAGTGTCAGTGTATCAGGCTAACATTGAATGAAGGGAGAACGGTTATTGTGAACTACACTATTCAAAAACAACTACCCAACGGCTTTGCTATACTTCCAGGTACTAAAGCTTCGAACTGTACAAAGCTCTTGGGTTCTTACTTTCACCCAAAACTAAAATTTTCTGACTATATCGAAACTGAATTCCAAAAAATAAGGCATTCACGCCTAATTGTAACTAACAGAAACCATAATCGAGAAAGGACTAAAGACGGTATACAATCTATTAGCGTACTCTCACATAAAATCAGTGGCGTACTTAAATCAAATTCGAAATACACGGTTAAAATTTAACAGCGTCGACTCTAGGGCATTTGAGTTGAATATGACTAGTACAAATTAAGTCCCTTAATGTTTATAGTCGATTCAGAGAGTTTAATTCAATCACGTAATTTAAGAGAAATTAAACATAGGAAGGAGGCCGTAATATACATAAGTTGACATGAACTTTACTGTATCTAAAAAACCGCAAAAATAAACGATTTTTTTATAAATGAAAATCAAAATCGCATAAAATTGATAACCCTTTAATATATTCTTTCAAATGCACTTCACTAGTCTCAAAAAGCTATTTCGTGAACCCGGGCCTCGAGGTGTAAACCTAACTGCACTCACTCCACTATGTAGTTTTATAGTGAAGAGGTTCATTCATCGGAGTAGTCGGACATCCTGACCTTCATTATATCAGACAAGTTTGACAAAAGATAAACTTGTCAGTTGACAAAAGGATAATGGAGCAACGTGCCTTAACCAGGCATTAAAAAAATCTTAAAAGCACCAAGACAAATCAGCGATGCCGATTTTTACTGAAGTAGAACCTCCAATCAGCCAACCAAGCTAGTAATGCTAAATCCAGCCCCCAAAATTCAAACGTCCTGTGTCCACCCATAATGCCATCCCGTTAATGAAAGTTTTAAAAACGTCTCATCCTAAGCCCCATATGATTTCCTTAATTGTTCACCCCTTTCCTAGGATATAAGTATTTTGACAGTATAATGATGCAATATTTTTGTTTTGTATGTTTTATGTTTAAGCAAATGGCGTCACTTGTTCAAATTGCAAAAATATAACGTGCAGTATAATAGTGGTTCGTAGAAATCGGCAAAGTGTTAAAAGTGGCCTAGTTGCAAGGCTTTCCCTCCCTATCGCTACTACTACATAATAGAAATTATAAATAACTCAAAAATAATATGACATTACCAAGAATTATAAGGCTCATTGTATTCCAGAGTTCTTTCAGTGCTAAGAAGAATTGTCTCGAGCTCCCAAATACCTTACAGAAAGTGTGAAGCTTTATCTTGAACTACTAAAAACAAAGTTTTTACATGTTTCTATTTACCTTGCTCTTTTTGATGAAATCGTTTACTTCGTCAATAGCTTTCTGCAGTCCAGCAGTCATATTTTGGTTGGTGCATCCATCATAGGGTTTGAGATCTTCCTCTTTAATCCAACTACTGTAATAAAAACAATATTTTGTTCATATCTAGCTATTATGAAAGTACTGGGATGTCAAATCGTAAGCGACAGCACTCAGCAGTGAGACATTGCATATTCATAAAAAGGTGGCACTTTCGGTTATATCAACTTGCTTATTTTAAATTGGACACCTTTTACACTATTATTGAATTCTGCTATCGATTAACGTACTGTAAATAGACAAACTAATGCTATATTCACGCGTCTAACATAATTGTCCGTGATAAAACGAGCGTCTTCTATGGGAATTTGTCGCAGCTATTTCTACTTGCACTGTCTATATAGATGGTAACCTTTTCAAAGTATATATATATATATATATATTGCTTTGGCTTAACCAACACAGTCTACTCCATCAATTGCAACAACTGCAACCAAATATACATAGGTCAGACCTCCAGATCTCTTAAAGGAAGGATTACATCACACAAAAGTGATGCTAGGCTTCATCCTGAAAGATGCGCTCTAGCATCTCATGTTAACACAACAGGGCATTCTATGAATTACACAAGTATCAAAGTTCTTGATAAAGAAAAACACCTTTCCAAACGTTTATTCCTGGAAATGTCCCACATCTTCATGAATAACAACTGTATCAACAAAAAGACAGATGTTAAACAACTGAGTGTCATTTACTCATATTTGCTAAACTGCGAAAAATTGGAGAACTTACATATCTCCCCAAATTTCGACTCTTCACAACCATAATTAGAATCTGTGTTTTGGCCGATTCCACCAGCAAATTTCATTCCACTCAAAATATAATAATTCTCTTCTCACGATTTATTAATAATTGTTAATTTAAATTCCCATTAATTAAAATATAGTTTATTCAACTGCCTCTGGTCGGTTTAACAAATTCTTACATAAAATTCTGAAAATCACATCATCTGAAGTGATTTGGCAACGTTTGGCACACGCTCACAATTCGTTCCATCTTTCAACACAGACATTGACATCCTTCGGCCTTCTGTCAAAAGGGCATCTCACTCATTATTCCATGACCACTAATTTGTGCAATCATCAAGTGGCTTCACGATGTAATGCTCTGTTTTTTAAATAATTTTTAATCTGTTTTTAACTTGTTCTTGTCATATTTTATATAATCTTGACCACTGTACAATCTATCCAGCTCTCACCATGTTACTGGACGTTTCCCTCATCCTATACGTAAACAACAATTAGCAACATCCTCACATACTACTGTAAGTTGAGTCAATTTAAATTCATTTTACACTTTTGTTGCTACTGTTATCATTGTAATTGCAGCTCCTGATGATGATGGCAAAGTCCATTGAAAGCTAGAGAGAATTAAAAAAAGTATAAAAAGTCCTCTTTGCTTAAATTTTGTCGAAGTATCCAACAAAAGGCGGAAGCTTTAATTTTTCACCTATATATATATATATATATATATATATATATAGTAAATTGTGAAACAGCTGTCACAAATTTGCATAGATGACGCTGCGATATCTCAATTTATCTCGGATATTTTTTGGGGCGCGTGAATATCTGGTTATTGTGTCTTTTTATACGATTTGTAATGGTTTCCTTACAAGAAGAGCCTTACTTTAGTGGACATTATTTGATATTTACATGAGTAATAATAAAGGGCAGCCAAAAAGAGAAGAAAACAATTTCTAAAAACGCCAATAATGATTTTTTTATCTATTTTTATAATTTTATCGTATCAAGTATTAAATAATATTAGATTAGATCCATAATATTTATAAAGCTCCGTTTTTATACTGCAATAATGCACCACACGACTTAACAATCAATTAAGGTATCTTTCAAAATATTCACTATTATACCAATGTGAGAGGTAAATATAAAAAGCTATCTTTATTTTTAACACTTAGCACTTAGCATGAAAAATTATTGATTGTCACGGCACATGTTTATTTACACAAAATCGCAGATACTACAAAAACGTTTAGACTTATGTATAGGATGATATACATGAAATTTGTTTACAATCTTGCCTATAATCCCATTCAAAACAAGCAAGTTAGTATCTACTTCCGGAAGTGCCACGATTTTGAAAATATTGTAATCAAACTGTTGCTCCCATCAATTTTTCCAAAACCCCAAATTGTCGTAGAAGCCGAAAGCCCACTTTTCGAGCAATCAATCAATGCGGTTCTCAGTAGGACACCCTGCATAGTGATCCTTATAACCAGACTATTCTGCCTCTCCTACAACTGGTCCAAGTCGAATATTCAAAAATCACTGGGCGCTTCCGGACCACAAAGTGTAAGTAAAAATCAACTAGTTGTTGTATCCAGTATACAACTTCTTTCCGTCCAAGTGATTGTACACGCGTTAAGGAATACCTCAGTACCGATTGCCGGGTGGCGGTACAAGTCCGCCAACGGGCCACTTTAGGTCTATTTAATATCACTAACACGTAAAAAGGTGGTAAACAAGGACCAGTCGACCGAGGCGGTACCACCCGCTAGCTTTTCCCAGGGTGTCTTATAAATGTCCGCATGTTTCCACACCTAAGCTATGCAGTCGGTTATCTTCCAAAACAAAAAAATTAATGATGATGGATCCCTCGAGCACTAAGAACGCCTGTCGTAAACTCACTCCACTCTCGGAATGTTCGGGTGGAGGGTGGGCTCTAGGGAACAACATCGAAGATAAAATTTGTTTTTCGAACATCTGCGGGATTAACAGCAACATTGATGCTGTTCATCACTACCTGCAATCCAATCGTCCCGCCGTGCTTTTCTTGGCGGATACAAAAATCTCAGAGACTGCACCGATTAACCATCTCAACTTCCCAAACTACGAGGTGCACTCCAATCTGAGAAATAACGGGGGAGTTGTGGCTTTTGTCCGCAACAGTCCTTTCCTGCTCCACGGATCTTTCTTTGGAATCAGACCGGAAGGACATTCTGTGGCTTCGCCTCAACTCCAAAACATCACCCAAATTTATTTGCTGCCTTTATCGCTCTCCCTCGAACCATAACTGGGATGACCTACTCGAATACCTCGCCGTCCAGATCGACTTCCTGAACATCAATCACCCCTGCTTCAGAAGTAGTTCTTCTCGGTGATTTCAATGCCCATAATGAGCTTTGGTTGGCTCAAATAAGACCGATGCAGCGTTCGCTCTTACTCAAGGGCTGACCTAGCTGGTGACGAGCCCTACTTTCTTCCCCCGCGTCTCGTCACACGCCAGTAGCCTGCTGGATCTCTTTCTGACCACGCATCCTGTCCCTTACAGCACTGCTGTCCTGTCCCCCCTGGGTAACTCAGACCACGGTGTTGTGGAGGTTAGCTTTCGGTCAGAAGCCGCTGTGGCAGCAGAAACTCGTACAGGCCGCAAAACTTGGCATTACGGACATGCCGACTGGGAGGGGCTCAGAGACTTCTTCTCTAGCTTACCTTGGAGAGATGTCTGTTTCACTGACGCGGATGCGTCGACTGTCTGTTCTTCGATAACCGAAATTATCCACGTCGGAATGGAGGAATACATCCCTCACACAGTGAAAGTTCCTAAACCAGGGTCCAATGGCTGGTTTAACAAATCGTGTGATACTGCTCGCCAGCAGAAGATCAAGGCACTCAGAACCTGCTTACAAAACCCCACTGTAGAGAACAGACAAGCCGACGTCGAGTCCAGAAACAAATATAACGGAGCGGTTCGCAATGCCAAAAACCAGCACGATATAAAAGTTAGGCACAGGGTAATGTCGCAGCGCAATGACAGTCGGTCTTTCTGGACGCTGGCCAAGCAGATTGAAAAGAACTTCTCACACAGTAGCCTTCCGCCACTTACGTGTCAGGATGGAACTATTGTATTCGACTCAAAGGCCAAGGCGGAAGTGCTAGCCAAGATCTTTGCTGCCAACTCCACCATGGACGTCCCTACCAACGCCCAAATGCCGTCAATTCAAAGGGTTCCCCACACTATGCGGGAGGTAACATTCAGGCATAAGACCGTAAAACGAGTGCTCTTGTCGCTCGACATCAACAAAGCTTCAGGTCCGGCCTTGATTCCTGCCATTGTACTGAAAAGATGTGCAGCGGAGCTTGCTCCAGTTCTTTCGCGTCTCTTCCAGATATCTTATGAATCCGGCACCTTCCCAGAAAACTGGAAATTTGCTCATGTCCAGCTCATCCCAAAAAAGGATCTAAGACCGACCCTTACAACTACAGGCCTATAGCTCTGCTTTCTGTTATAAGTAAAGTGATGGTGCATAAATCGCGAGCTTCTGGACTACCTCGAACGTCACAGCTTGATTAGCGACAGGCAGTATGGTTTCCGGCACCAACGATCCACAGGGGACCTCCTAGCTTACGTCACGCAATTGTGGAGTAAACTCATCCAGTCTCATGGTGAGGCTCATGTCGTTTTGCTCTTGACATCACGAAAGCGTTCGATCAGCTGTGGCACGCTGCCCTCCTAAGCAAACTTCCATCCTATGGCCTCCCAGAAAAGCTTTGCAGATGGATGGCTGACTTTATCTCTGGCCGCAAGATATCCGTCGTAATTGACGGGTTCTCCTCTTCATCCCACAACGTCAACGCGGGTGTTCCCCAGGGATCGGTCTTGGCTTCAACACTGTTTCTCTTACATATCAACGACCTCCTTTCCTACACGATCAACCCAATCCACAGCTTCGCTGATGACAGCACTCTACATGCAGGAATTCAGAGTGACAAGCCGATCTCTGCCGCTGAGCTGGAAAAAAGAAGACTAGCGACGACTTCTTCTCTGACAAGAGACCTGGAGGCTATCACTGCTAAGGGACGCAACAATCTTGTACAGTTCAATGCTTCCAAAACACAGTACTGTACTCTAACGAACAAAAAGCGTCCTAGCGCTCATACAGTTTCAATGGACGGCCGAGTTCTACCAAAGAGCCATTCATTTCGGCTGGTCGGAGTCCAGATCACCGAGGACCTGATCTGGCACGAACACATCTCGTCAATAGCTGCAGCTGCTGGGAAAAAGCTAGCCTATTTGTTTAGGGCTAAGAATTACTTTTCTCCGCATGACCTTCTCACTCTATACAAGGCCCAGATAAGGGCTAGCCTCGAGTATTGCTCACACATTTGAGGTGCTGCCGCCTCGACTACACTGTCCATGCTCGATGCTGTCCAGAGGAGGGCGGTCCGACTGATCGATAACTCTTCTCTAACAGACAGTCTCGGGCCTCTTTCGCACCGGCGGGCCGTCGGCGATCTAGCTCTTTTCTATCGCTACACCAACGGGCTTTGCTCCTCAGAGCTCTCTTCCATGATGCCGCCGCGCGATGTGCCTGCCAGACAGACCCGCCTGACTTCGGCGTCCCATCCTAACCGTGTCAAACTTCGTACATCCAGAACTGGCCGATACGACTGCTCCTTTGTCCGGAAGGTGTCTAGATTGTGGAACAATCTACAAGAGGAAGCTTTTCCCAGTTCTACTAACCTTAGGCAGATCAAAAATCGTATTAACAAAATTTCTTTGGGATCATCATAGCAGCCGCGGTGTTCCGGCATTTAGGCTTCTGCCTGCGCGGATGTTTCGATATATAAAAAAACTCGTTTTAATGTTTTCCAGGATTTAATTGTACTGGGTGTGAATTGACAATAACATAACCACTTTTTCTCCTCTACAAGATGTCATGATTAGAATTCCAATGTGACGTTCTAATGACGTTTCGTCTCTTGTCCTCCAGCATCAACTTTATTTTTTCTTATGGACGCCATATTGGATTTTTGCGTAGATGAATAGAGTATTTAATTTTGATTTCAACGATGTCTTACATTGACGTTGCCAAACCGTAGTAATTCTAGAAAAACAGAATTTACCTAGGTAGGTCTTGAAATTATCATTCATTTGTTTCGTATATAGCAACAGAGTTTGGAAGACGGAAAACAAGAAATAAATCGAGCAATGAACACTACATAGAAAAGTTAGGCTTTGCCTACAAAATAACGGACATTTTGAACATTGGCTATGATTTACTTCTGCTTATTTATGATTATAATATCAATATCAATACAATTTTCATGTTGTGTTCAGATTTTACACCTTTTTATTTCCTTATAATTTTCATCCAACAACAAATTCATGGCCAACTGAGGGAATACATCACTGGATTTCAGACTGAAAAGCCCATACAATTGTACAAATTTCCAATATAGCGTCCATATGAAAAAACAAAGTTGGTGATGCAAGTTGAAAAAAATGTCGAATTGAATATTTGACTACGCCATTTTGTACAGAACAATGACAACATGCAATTGGTTTTGAAATCACATCTCGAATAAAGTCAGAAAAAATTAAAAGTGATTTTGGGTCAAGTCTGGTTTGCGAAACAAATGACAATTTGTAGAAGAGAAAAAGAGGCAATGTTAATGTGTAAATTATTTTTAATACCCACTACAAATAAAGTCAATAAAAAATTAAAACGATTTTGGTTTTTTCCATTTTTCAATTTCGAAACTTGCTAAGCGGCATTTTGTTGATTAACTGAATACACAACTTTGCCTTCATTAAGCGACTTCGTATCTCCTACAGTTTCCGAAATCACAATGTTGAGATACCCTGTATAAAAATATTTTACTTTTCTTTGTATCTCGGAAAATATGCGAATTTTAGAAATTAAGAATATCATTTAACACTAGTTATCCTAGGACTTATTCAAGAAGAGAGGTACGTCAAACAGCGCGTCGCGGGAAAATCAAACACATGGGTAGGTATGAGAGTATGCAGAAGCAACCACGCTACTGAGGCAAAGCACGTGGAGACCACTGCCACTACAAAATGTAACAAATTATAAAATTGCAACATGAGTTTCATCTAAAATGCAGTTAAATTGAGTTAGTAAAGTCAAAAACCTCATAAGTAACACAATTTTAATATTTTAGGAATCACACGCTGATGTCAGCACTTTACGTGCAGTTATTCAGAGTGACAAGCCGATCTCTGTCGGTGAGAAGACTAGCAGCGACTTCCTCTCTGACGAGAGACCTGGAGGTTATCATTGCTCGGGAACGCAACAAACTTGTACAGTTTAATGCTCCCAAAACACAGTATTGTATTTTGACGAACAAGAAGCGTCCTAGCGCTCATCCTGTTTCGATGAATGGCCGAGTTCAGGCAAAGAGCCGTTCATTTCATTCCAGATCAGCGAGCACTTGATCTGGCACGAACATATCTCATCAATAGCGTCAGCTGCTGGGAAAAAAACTAGGCTATTTGTTTATGGCTAAGAAGTAGTTTTCTCCGCATGACCCCCTCACTTTATACAACGCCCAGATAAGACCTAGCCTCGAGTATTGCTCATATGTTTGGGGTACTACCGCCCCGACTACATTATCCATGCAGGATGAAGTTCAGAGGAGGGCTGTCCGATTGATTGATGACTAGTCTCTAGCGTGCAGTCTCGTGACCCTTTCACACCGGCGGGCGATCGGCGATCTAGCTCTCTTCTACCGCTACGCCAGAGGGCTTTGCTCCTCGGAGCTCTCCTCCATGATGCCACCGAGTGATGTGCCTCCCATTCTTCGTACATCCAGAAATCGCCGATACGACTGCTCCCTACGGTATCGAGATTGTGGAAGGTGAGGAGGCCCTTTCTTGATCTACTAACCTTAGGCAGTTCAAAAATCGGTTCAACAAATTTTCTTTAAGCTCCAGCCGCGTTGCCCTCGCATTTAGTGTACGTTCACATCGGAGGCGCTCCGCTTGGAGCTGTGCGCTTTACAGCCCAGGGGAAAGCTAGAAGAACGAGAACACAGCTTTAAATGAATGTATTCAGACCGCGCGCATGGCGCTAAGCACTGTGCCTTACGTTATACTATGCGGAGCGGTGGAAAACGCGATGTGTTGGTTTTGCGTTACGTTTTGCCTCACTTGTTCAGAGAACTCCGAAGGTTATCTGCATATATAATGGAAGAACAAATTATCACCGCCGTTTTTAAACGAGAGGCAATATTAAATCAGAAGCACTCGTTGCATAAAAATGTATATGCGTTACAAAATCTCGATAGAGGTGATAGAATTCTCCGAACGATATCCTACATATATTAATCGCATGCATCCACGATCGTTTTAAACGTTTTTTTCTATTCACTTTCAACGCAATACTTTCGAGTAGTAATATTTTCTTAACTCGTAAAGGAGCCATTGTGAACTGCTTGGAAAATGCGTCTATAAATATAAGTGTGTTTTAATAGCAGCCGAGGTCTAAAAAGCGCCTCCGATATGAACGAACCCGAACGCATAGAGGTTCGCTTGACATGAAGTGAGGCGAGCAGCTCCAAGCGTAGCGCGTTCGATGTAAACGTGCACTTAGGAGTCTGCCTGCCGGGCTGTTCGGTGTAAAAAAATAATAAAAAAGCGTTTTCTTTAAAAAAAAAACAGGTTGGAAAAATATTACTTGTGGGCTTTGAAATAATTGACAATTGCAACATAATTTCGCTCCAATAAGAAATACTGCCACGGCAAATGCTCAAAAAGACACGTGACGAGCGGCTTGAAGCCCCACCATGCGCGCTGATTGCCGCTGCGTTAGGTGCATCTTGACGCTTCCTGAAAGAGCCCTCAGTTTTTCAGATTTTACGCCCAGATGGAAGATACTTTAAAGTAAAATCGGTCATATATCGGTGAATTTTTAATGGATCAAAAAAGGCATAGTACTCGATATTTTCTTGTTAACATTATATCCTAAAAAAATGATGTATACAGGGTATCCCATATAGAACTGCAATAATCGATTACTCAAAAAGTCAACAAAAGACTCTTGGATTTATATCGTAATTTATAGGAACAATTCATTTTCATAATCGTGGCACTTCCATTTGTACCGGAAGTAGATACCAGCTTGCTCATTTTATACAGACCTTCAAGTTTTCCGTAAAAATGACAAATGCAGGCCAATGAATTATAATCATTTTTCTTGTATCTTTGCCTTTGTGATATGATTTGTAACGGGTTTCTTATAGTAGAATACCTACTTCAATTAATTTCGTTCCGGATTTGAATAATAAATTGTACAGAATGAAAACTGTCAATTCAAATGGAAATAGGGTTGTCGGATTTGGATCATTTGATTTAAACCATGATTTAAATCAATGCTAACAAGTAATCTCTTTGATAAAAATCAGTATTCAAATCAAACTTGATTTTATCTTTTTTTTAATCAGTATTTAAATCCAACTTGATTTTTTCCATTTAAGTTCATAGATTACTTAGAGTAATGATAATCAAGTCAGCTACATAAAAGAACAAGACTGATTCGAATGCACATTTGCACATTTTTATGTAAACTATGCTTTTTAATGAATAAGAAAGTGAATCAACAACTAGTTATTATAATATTTAAAAAAGAACGCCAATTTCATAGCCTTCTCATTTCCCAGCCTATTTTGAAGTTTAGATTGGATCAGATCAAATGTAGAAAAAATCCTTTGTATAGATGCAGACGCAATGATTTTAAATTTTTTATTTACTCTGCAAACATTACTTGTTTTGAACATATTCTAAAGCTTTGGTATCTTCATAAACTTGTTAACTGGAATTTGATTTTTGTAGGGTCCAGCAAATACGTTTCGAAGACTTCAACAGCATCGGATAATAATATTGATTTTTGTAATGTATCTAATGCTATCGCATTGGCATTGACTTGTAGATTTTCAACAAATCTTCGGCTGATCTCTTTATCGTCATGATTCTAACTTTTTGGTATATGATCCTATCTGTGCCATTCCTATTATCTTCACATACATGATGAGTTTTTAGTATGGGCCCGGTCGATAGCTCCCTTATAACGCATGGTATCTACAAAAATTAAAAACAACCATTGTAGCCAACCATGCGGAGTTAAAACATTCTTTGGGGGGCACACTTTGCATATTGAAAGTTTTCCCATATGAGCAATTGAAATTATTCAATGGATTCTCATTGCTCTACTTTTCCCACATGAGCGAAGGAAGTTTTTTGAAGTCTAACTAACTTCATTATCCACAATCACTTTTACTAGAAATGGAAAGGTTTCATTAAAAAATACAACACAATGCGAAATAAGTTTACTGTCATACAAATAAAACGCGCCTTCCATGTTCTGTTCACAATATTTAAAACAAAATGCAATAATTGTAAATTTAATGAAAGACTATTTTACGGTTACCCCTTTTGGCCAATTTGTCAGTTAAGGCTTCTACATTTAGATTCCTCACTAAGTCGGATTCCGAGAACAAAACAACTAAGTTTAAGAACCGTTCTTAGTCCATTGATGATCTTAGGCAATTAGTAATTCGACACATTGTGGAAAATGGCCTATCACAAGTTGCACTATTGGATGGGAGAGTGAGAACAATTTTGAAAAGAATTTTAAAATTGGGATAGATATCACCTTGATCGAGAACCAAGTCGTTCAGTAACTGCACCAACTCTATTAGAGATGTTTCCTCGGGCTTAGAACAATTTGCGTCCAGAACATTTCTAAGAATATCCATTTCGGCTACAAGCATGGTTTTGTTTAGTCCCGGTATAGGATATTTTCTAATGAATGGTTCGGCTCCTTTTATGATAAGTCGCAGGAACTCCTTACTTGGGGTTGTCACTTCCAACGTCTCACCAGCGAACCTTTTGAGTGCTCCCAATCATAGTATCCAAGTTTGGGTAGTACAGGTCCCAGCGATACTTATTTTTCGCATCCATTTCACTGTTGTTAATTAAATTTACTCTCCTTGATTCATCGAGTTTCTTCGTTATCGTCCGTGAATGTTTAGGTGCAGGCGATGCTGTTTCTGTTACTAAGCTGAGCTCGACAGGGAAAATGTTTATCCTATGAGTTTTTGAAAATCCTTTTACTTCTTGCCATTTATCTTCCCAATTCATTTTGTCACCAAACTTCCTTATGATTCCCCCGGCGGTTTTTGAACATTGTGCAATGCAAATGTCTTCTCTTTGGAGAGCTTTGCTCTGAAGATTTATGTCACTTAAATACTAAAAAAAAAATAATTAAGCATACCACAAAGTCCTTTGATGGATGGCAACAAGGCTTTAGCCTGAGAAGACTTGGAATTTCTTATAACTGTAGCTGTCCCGGTTTAAAACAGAACGAATTGCGTCAAAATTTCTGTACACTGATTGGACAGCCGTAGCCCTACAAGACCATCTTGTAGAACTCAGCTTGTAGAGTTCATTTGGACCTGGAGTTTTGATTTGTTCTCTTCTCATTCACAGAGTGACATGCGCAAAACATCCCAGCACTTTATTGCAGATAAACGAAGCAATTTGACATAACATATTCTTGAGATACTGGACAACTTATCGAAAAAACAGTCAACTCTGACAATTCACATCTCCGCAACTGTTGTAGTAGGAGTAATGAAAATTTCTTAAACAAAATTTGTGATCTCATATTTTCTTTCTATCCGCTTACCTTTTCAGCTTTTAAACAGCTTATATAGGGACAATAACTAATTCTCTTAATTTGGAAATGGAACAGCCTGTATATTTTCAAATTTAATTCCCCTTTTCACTAGCTTTTCTCTGATATAAAGTTTATGAGGATATGTATTAGTTTTTGAGTTACTAAAAACACAGGGACACCTTGACTTTTGCGCTTTATCGCACAATGTTGGGTAGATTTTGTTTAATAATCAAAATACGCCAATTTAATTAATTAATATAATTTTTTACTTAGAAATGTATTGTCATATTCTTCATTTTCCTTGATATGTAATTTATAAAAATAATAATATAATCATATTTATTCATTGATAGCAAGGTACAAATATATGAAATTGCTAACCGGAAAAGGCGAAGTTCAGCTTTCATTCCTAGGGGAATAGGTGGTATTCCACTTAACAATACATAACACACTTAATACGAATAAAAGAAAGGAAAGACTGACAGAATTCACATAGAAAGAAAAAAGGAAAACACACAATGATAGATAGATGTAATCATATACATATAAGTGCATGATGAGGTTATACAAAGTATAAAAATAATCCATTTAGATATTTAACATGATACATTACTATAGTGAGATCTCAGAAACCTGGAGTAGTACTTTGTGAAAGAATCTAACGATTTGGATTTCAAGTATTGAGGGACAGCAATATATAATAATAATAAAACGTCTTTATTGGGTGAATTTTAGCATAAGCTATTCTACCACTTGACCCGTAAATCCGTCTATCCACAAAATAAACAATAAAAAAACAATATACACCACTAAAAATGCAGAGGTTTCAACATAAAAATGAATTGATTGAGTAAAAATAAATCAAGATTGGATAAAAGTATAACATTATACATACTTATAGAATGATCTTAATGCATATGTTATGGATAAAGTTAGAATAATGATTAAACTTAGGACCGTATCGTCAGTCGTCCCTACAACTGTAGGGCGCGTTTATGGCCTTGATTTCGATAATATTACGTCTTCTTCGGTAAGGTACATGTATGTCCTGCTTTACATTTCTAGTCTGCAGTCAATCAGAAGTCAATTGTGTTAGGTTATGTTTCTTTTTTGACAGATGAATCAAATGCCGAAGGATATTTTCTTGCAAATAATGTTGAGCATTCAATAATTTCCTACATTGAACAAATTCGTCAGGCTGTGGTATCTTCAAGTCCCATATCTCGTATTAATGATCTAAAATCAACACTTTAATACAAATGGATGTGTATTTATATATATTTGCCTAACAGCTTACAACAAAGCTGTTCCTTGGTG